ATAGCTTTGGTGGACATTCCTGCAGTCAGCATGCCAATTGCACACTCCTTCAAAACTTGAGACATCTGTGGCATTGTGTTGTGTGGCCTTTTATTGTCCCCAGCACAAGGTGCACCTGTGTAATGATCATGCTGTTTAATCAGATTCTTGATATGCCACACCTGTCAGGTGGATGGATTATCTTCGCTAAAGGAGAAATTCAAACTAACAGGGATGTAAACAAATTTGTGCACACAATTTGAAAGAAATAAGCTTTTTATGCATATGGAAAATTTCTGGGATCTTTTATTTCAGCTCATGAAACATGGGACTAACATTTTACGTATTGCATTGATATTTTTGTTCAGTGTATATATATACAGTGCTTTCGGAAAAGGATTCAGACCCCTTGAATTTTCCACATTTTGTTAGGTTACAGCCTTATTCTAAAATTGATGAAATTGTTTTTTTCCCCCTCATCAATCTACACACAATACCCCATAATGTGAAAGAAAAAAACAGTTTTTTAGAAATGTTTGCTAATTTATTAAAAATAAAAATAAACTTAAATATAACATTTACATAAGTATTCAGACCCTTTCCTCAGTACTTTGTTGAAGCACCTTTGGCAGCGATAACAGCATAGAGTCTTCTTGGGTATGACGCTACAAGCTTGGCACACCTGTATTTGGGGAGTTTCTCCCATTCTTCTCTGCACATCCTCTCAAGCTGTCAGGTTGGATGGGGAGCGTTGCTGCACAGCTATTTTCAGGTCTCTCCAGAGATGTTCGATCGGTTTCAAGTCTGGGCTCTGGCTGGGCCACTCAAGGACATTCAGAGACATGTCCCGAAGCCACTCCTGCGTTGTCTTGGCTGTGTGCTTAGGGTCGTTGTCCTGTTGGAAGGTGAACCTTCGCCACAGTCTGAGGTCCTGAGCGCTCTGGAGCAGGTTTTCATCAAGGACCTCTCTATACTATGCTCCATTCATCTTTCCCTCGATCCTGACTAGTCTCTCAGTCCCTGCCGCTGAAAAACATCCCCACAGCATGATGTTGCGACCACCATGCTTCACCGTAGGGATGGTGCCAGGTTTCCTCCAGACGTGACGCTTGGCATTCAGGTCAAAGAGTTCAATCTCGGTTTCATCAGACCTGAGAATGTTGTTTCTCATGGTCTGAGAGTCAAGCAGGCTGTCATGTGTCTTTTACTGAGGAGTGGCTTCCGTCTGGCCACTCTACCATAAGGCCTGATTGTTGGAGTGCTGCAGAGATGGTTGTCCTTCTGGAAGGTTCTCCCATCTCCACAGAGGAACTCTAGAGCTCTGTCAGAGTGACCATCGGGTTCTTGTTCCCCTCCCTGACCAAGGCCCTTCTCCCCCGATTGCTCAGTTTGGTTGGGCTGCCAGCTCTAGGAAGAGTCTTGGTGGTTCCAAACTTCTTACATTTAAGAATGATGGAGGCCACTGTGTTCTTGGGGACCTTCAATGCTGCAGACATTTTTTTTGGTACCCTTCCCCAGATCTGTGCATCGACACAATCCTGTCTCTGAGCTCTACGGACAATTCCTTCGACCTCATGGCTTGGTTTTAGCTCTGACATGCACTGTCAACTGTGGGACCTTATATAGACAGGTGTGTGCCTTTCCAAATCACGTCCAATCAATTGAATTTACCACAGGTGGACTCCAATCAAGTTGTAGAAACATCTTAAGGATCATCAATGGAAACAGGATGCACCTGAGCTCAATTTCGTGTCTCATAGCAAAGGGTCTGAATACTTATGTAAATAAGGTATTTCTGTTTTTTATTTTTAGTACATTTGCAAACATTTCTAAAAACCTGTTTTCGCTTTGTCATTATGGGGTACTGTGTGTAGATTGCTGAGGATATATTTTATCCATTTAAGAATAAGGCTATAATGTAACAAAATGTGGAAAAAGTCAAGGGGTCTGAATACTTTTCGAAGGCACTGTATACACATGTATAAAATGTATAAAATCGAGCACACAGTCATGCAATCTCCATTGAAAAACATTTGCCTTACTGAAGAGCACAGTGACTTTCAACGTGGCACCGTCATAGGATGCCACCTTTCCAACATGTCAGTTTGTCAAATGTCTGCCCTGCTAGAGCTTCCCTGGTCAACTGTAATTGTTGTTATTGTGAAGTGGAAACGTCTAGGACCAAGAACGGCTCATCTGCGAAGGCCACACAAGCTCATAGAACGGGACCGTCTAGTGCTGAGGCGCATAGCGCGTAAACATTGTCTGTCCTCGTTTGCAACACTCACTACTGAGTTCCAAACTGCCTCTGGAAGCAATGTCAGCACAATAACTGTTTGTCAGGAGGATCATGAAATGGGTTGAATCTGGTTTTTGCGGATGCCAGGAGAACGCTACCTACCCGAACGTATAGTGCCAACTGTAAAGTTTTGGGGAGGAAAAATAATGGTCTGGGGCTGTTTTTCATGGTTCGGGCTAGGCTCTTTAGTTCCAGTGAAAGGAAATCTTAATGCTACAGCATACAATGACATTCTAGACGATTCTGTGCTTCCAACTTTGTGGCAACAGTTTGGGGAAGGCCCTTTCCTGTTTCAGCATGACAATGCCCCCGTGCACAAAGTGTACAGAAATGTTTTGTCGAGATCGGTGTGGAAGAACTTGACTGGCCTGCACAGAGCCCTGACCTCAACCCCATCAAACACCTTTGGGATGAATTGGAACGCCGACTACGAGCCAGGCCTAATCGCCCAACATCTGTGCCCGACCTCACTAATGCTCTTGTGGCTGAATGGAAGCAAGTCCCTGCAGCAATGTTCCAACATCTAGTGGAAAGCCTTCCCAGAAGAGTGGAGGCTGTTATAGCAGCAAAGGGGGGACCAACTTCATATTAATGCCCATGATTTTGGAATGAGATGTTCGACAAGCAGGTGTCCACATACCTTTGGTCATGTAGTGTATATATAATTTGATTGTTTCTACCTAGGGTCATGGGCATGAGGGTGCTGGGATGTATCTTGTGGGTCCTCAAATGTTAGATGACCTCTGAATGCTCTCTGTATCTTTCTCTGATCGTTATCTTTTTACTCTCAGGACACACACGCACACACACGGATTCTCTCTCTCTCTAATCATAATCACTGTTCTCTTTTCTTAATCTCCAGAAAAGCACAGATTTCAGATACACTGTGGACACGTCCCATTGTATTAACTTTCATCTGTATGTATCTAGCTCTGCGGAAAGTAGCGCTGGGCTGGGTCATATAACTTACCTCACCTACTCAAAGTCAAGTTCAGACTCACCTGACACATTAACCCACATAATATTCTATCAAATATATTTGACACGGTTCGCATCCTAATCATTCGGTCTCTGCATGGTTCTTTGTTATATCTGCTCTGTGGGGATGAGTGTGTTTACCTGTGGACTGTGTGCTTATAAATGCAGTGCTTCCAATGCCCTTAATAGCCTGTAACAAGCCACTTAATGGATCTAACGATGCCCCTTATCGTTCATTTGGTATAATGAGCAACAAGAGCTGGAGCATCATTGATAAATGTGCCCTTATGTTGCTAGGTTACTGCTTTGTCTTTATTGTATAGCTTGGTATGTTTGGTATAGTTAATGGTGTTGGTGGCTTTTATATAAGTCGATGACACAAGAAAAGTCATAGAGTTAAGAAGAGACATACACATAAAGTACGGTATATAATGTCATTTAATATTGGTTCTCTATGGAAGAAGTTTAACCATGAAACATTTACAAAATATACACAAGGTGATGCGTGGATCAATTAACAATAGTTCTATTTCAGTAATATAGGTTCAAATCAAACACTTTTTTACATGGTTTGTGCACTGGTTCCATCGGTTGCTCTCTTGTTGCGGTAAGGATGAGGGTTGGGGTTTGTAAGGCTCCAGGGAAGACCAATGGACCCATACAGTAGATGCACACCTTGCGTCACCCAAACAATCGGGCACCTCTTAAACATAGCACCCCCGCTTTGTCTTCTATGGTGCTAACATCATACAGCAATCAACTCAAACAAATGGAGTAGGAACCAGTCACAAATATTATATCCAATATGTACAACAATAGAATACCTTAAAACATATAACCCAACAAATATGGTCTAAAATGTCCAAATAGTATCTCCCTGATTACAGCATACAAATACAATCCATCCTACTCTCAATTCTTACAAATGTAAATAATACATTTTCTCATCAAATCCCAAATATTGGATTTCCAAAAAGATTGATGACGTGATTTTGAAAATAGCTTAGGTCGTTATAACAGTGCATAACACAGTCAGTTAGGGATCTAATAGTGTGTTTTATACATTGCTATTGCTCTATCATATGGGTTGATTTCAGAGGTGTATTGATGTATGGAAAGTGCTTTGTTATTCATTGAACAGCCTGTGTAGGGTGTGTAGGAAGAAAATATATAGTTTGTGTGTATTTCCCTTTCTCGCGTGAAGAGGGTGCGCTTCCTTCTTGCTGGTTTGCCGCTGTCTGTCTGTGGCGGGACAGAAGGACATAGTGAGGCGTGGAATGAGAGAGGAGGAATGGAACAGTCTTTTGGTCTTCAATCACTGTCACCGGGAGTTATGGGTAATGGAGGATTTTTAGACCCTCATCCCTCAACTTTGGGAGTTGAGTTGGTCTAAGATGGTGCTTTGCCATCTAACTCACAGCACACTGACTTGTTCAGCAGACTATAAGTCTATGAGTCTTTTAGAGATTTTACCAGCTCTGAGAATTGTTCATGAGGTCATAGTTCAAGAGACTCCACCCTCCTCTTTTCCTCCATCTTCCTCTGAGATGCCTCTCAGTCCACCCATTCACCCTGTCCAACCCTGCTTCTGCCCCAGTCCTAGCTCCAGCACACACAGCCCATTGAAGAGAGCCTGATGGTGACTGGCTGGTGGCTTGTGGCTGGAGTGAAGGGGTCATGACTTCCCCTTTCAGGGGTCCGGTAGTCAGTGGGTGTCCCTGTGGGCTGTGGTTCCTCCAGGCCCTTAGAGGTCGATGCTGAAGGCCAGCAGTTTGTCGGAGTGCAGGTTGTTGAGGGTGCGCAGGTCGGGGAGGCGTAGCAGCAGCTTGGGGAAGAGGGCGCTGTCGTCAGGGCGACGGTGGGTGATGAGTGAGCGCAGGGCTTTGATCAGAGTCTCCTGAAGCTGCTCCACTGCAGCGACGTCAGCCATACCTGAACGGTCTGAGAGACGAGAGGAGAGAGGGTTAGATGCATTGCGAAAAATCTAAACAAAACATATGTGATTCTTTAAGAGATTTATAGTGTGTGCAGTGTGTGTGTGTCTCTTATGAGTCTCTTACCGGCAGACACTAGCACCACAGCCATGAAGAGGGCCATCTCATCGGGCTCCAGGCCTAGAGCTCCCAGCCTCTCACTGAACTCAAACATGGTGTCCAGCAGAGAGCCCATGCCCAGCGCCCGAAGGGATGTCAGGGGGTATGTCTGGCCGTTCAAGAAGGTCACCGTCTTCTCCTTGGGGTCGAACAGCGAGCAGAACCTGACCATCAGCACCTGGAAGGTGCCGGCCTTAAGCAGCATGACCTGGTCGTGCTGGCTGAGACTCTGGAACCCGGGGATGCTCTTGGCAAACTCCACCACCTCCTTGACGGCCGGGGTGAAGCACTGGGAGAAGGCCTCCCAGATCTGCTGGCTGGAACGGTCACGGGGGGCCACGGGACATGCGTTCAGGGGACATGCCTGAGAGAGAGGGAGAGGGTTAGAATGGCTCTATGACACTCCTACAGTCATGTGTGTATTGTATATATAGTAATACTATGGAAATACATAGTATTTTAAAGAGACTCACCAGAACTTTGGCACCTCCACTCAACTTCCAGGGGCAGGTGGTCTGGTTTTGAGACTTGCCGGCTGGAAAGCTGTTGTGATTGGCTTGGAAGGTCTGAGCGGACTGGCTGCCATTGGACATTGGGCATTGACTCTGATTGGATGATGGTTGGTAGGTATACTGGGCGTTGTCAACATTGTTGTTGCGTGGGCAGCGAGAGGGTGTCTGGTAGCTTTGTGTGGGGTGTGACTGGTACCCCTGAGAGCGGTTGGAATGGGAGTGGGTTTGGTGTGCCGGGTGTGAGTAGCCAGACTCATGTGCTGGATTGTTGCGGACATTGTTGTTGTTGTTGTTGACGGCCATCTTGATTACTGGCTTCACATCCTCTTGGGTGAAGATGTTGTGGTAGGCAGAGGAAATGGAATCTCCAGATTCTGGACTGGCTGGGGCCTCAGAGGAAGAAGGGGAGGAGTCAATCTCCATGGATGCTGATTCGTTGAGGCTGTTCATGTAGCTCTGCATCTCGTCCAATAGCCTCTGCTTCTCACGCTTGGGGATACGCCCAAAACGCACAGCTGAGGAGAAGGAGGACAAGGGGAAAACAAGTTAATGCTAATGAATCGATAATGCCGATGACAGTGACTAGAGCTAGTATAGCAGTGGCCAGTTACTTATCTATCTAATTCAACCTTTACTCCCTGACACTGATTGGGAGTGCAATCACTGTGTGGCACGATTACTGACTAATCCTACAGGGTATAGAAAGCTGGGGGAGATTTCTCTCCTCTCTATATAACCAGTCTGTTTCAATCAACCATGAAATTACATGGTATACCACCCCCTTTCCTCTCCTATTTGACTCCTTCATCCCCCTCGTCATCTCTCCAAACCTCCCATCCCCCTCTCTATAGCGCACATCCTCTGTAAAATCCATGTATTATTATTATTTTTATTTTTTTATAGTCTGCTACTGTATGCTACACCCCTTCCCCCAATCTCTTTCCCTCTTGCTCCATCTATCCTGATCGCTCTCTTCCTCTTTCTACCTCGCCCCTCGCTCACTCTCGCTCTCTCGCTCCTCTCTGTGTTTCTGTTAAGCACTCGTTATTTTCTCTATGAAAATAGGTTACTGGGTCAGCTGGAGTAAACATTGTCATTGGTCGAGTGACAGAGTGAGGGAGGAGAGATGTCAAAGTAGAGAAAAGTGAAAACGTAAAGGACTGAGAGGGTGAAGGAGTGAGAGGGTGAGGGGGTAATAGGGTAAGATTAAAGGGGTGAAGGAAATGAGAGGATGATTGAATGAGAATTAGGGATTAAGGGAATGAGATTGAGAGTGAAGGGTAAAACGCTGAAAAGGGAAAAAGGGGTAGATGAGTGACATCAAAAATGTAGTTTTAAATGAATGCCTTGTATTCATACATTACATCTTCAAATATCAAAGGTATCAATAAAAATATCAATTTACAGTGAAAAAGCAACACCTATGCTGTGATAATAAGAGCCTTTCCAGTAATTGGCGCATTGCTGCAATGGCGGGTAATTTTCCTCCTCGCTAGCGTTTTCCTTTTATAGGTCACCTCAAAATGTTTGCTCCAGAAAAGTAGATGATTTATTATCACCTAGTTTAGAGAGACCTCAGGAGGGTACGGTGGCCTCTAACTGTACCAACTGTACTATCCTCCAATAATATCTGAATAGTTTACCAGTATTAGAACATGGCATATTAAATGCCTGTATGTTTTAGACTTTAGATGTGCAAACACTTTCAACCTGCCACATAGGGTATAATGAAGCGGCCTGTGGCCTAATTTACTAAAATAAACCGTATTTGCAACAGTTTTTCCCATGACTGATGACTACTGGGACTCCCCAGCTGCTTCTGTCATCAATCAGAGATAGAGAAGGAGAGGAAGAAAGAACAGAAGGAGAGATGAAGGAGAGAGAGAACGGATGGGGTATTGAGGAGGTGTGACTGAAGAACGAGAATGACGCCAGATATAGATGGAATGTTCTCTTACCATCTCTGGACATGCCCACGGAGAGACACTTCTTGAAGCGGCAGTGCTGGCACCGGTTGCGGTTCATGCGCATGATCAGGCAGCTCTCATTCTTCACACACATCTTGTAGTGGATGTTCTGCTGGATGCTGCGGCGGAAGAAACCCTTGCAGCCTTCACAGGCGTGAACACCGTAATGGAAGCCAGACGCGATGTCCCCGCACACCTTACACAGGAGCACCATGCCTCCTGTCTCTGTGAGGTACACAAAGAGAGGAATGATTGGTTAGACATTATAATAGACAAATATAATAAGAAAACAGAAAGACAGAAAGACAGTAGGAGTGGTACTTACTGGTAAAGGTGCCAGTGAAGCTACAGGGCCTCTTGGCCACCATAGGGTGGGCATAGGTATTGCCAGACGATGTAGTGGTTGCAGTGGCATTGGCTTCAGGGAACTGGAAGACTAGTTTGGGTGAAGGTCCTCCCCTGTTCTCCCCTCTTTCTCTCTTCAGAGGGCCGATCTCGGGGAAGGAGACAGGTTCAGGAGATGAGGGTTGGGAGTGGGAGGACCGGGGGGACTGGGTCTGGTACCCGCTGGAGGGGCTGCCAGGGCTGGGGCTGGCACTACCAGATGAGCCAGCATACAGTATCACACCACCTGGAGGGCAGAGGAGGAGAGAGAGGGAGGGCAGTTAGTGTCACTGCTGTCACTGTGTCACAAGGAAGCAGACAGAAGGCTATGCTGCCAGCGAACTATCTGTGCAAAGATGCATAGATCAATATCTATATCTGTGTCGAAATAGTTCCACACGCACACGGACAGGCACACAATGTAGGTAGGTCAATTAACAGATAAGGGTTGAGCAATAGGCTACTTTGATTAGGTGCCTGTCTTTACTTGGCTGGGTTCCCAAACATGAACACACCTCCTGCCTGTGTAGTCGACATTTAAACCATAACCAGTCTCAAAGAAGCCGATAAAAGGTCAAAGAAGGTTAGAATGTGTCTGGACAATGAGGTAAAATCTAACTGGGGACCGACCAATAGTATTTTTCCTAAATGTGCATTTAAGACTTCAAAACAAGTATTATCATTCTAGCTATGACTATTCAGTGTCAGAAGATGTGGGACCTTGAATTCATACAAAAACAAAATAATAAAACAATTCCAACAATGGCCTGATTTTGTTCCAAACAAATATTTCTATAAGTTACTCAAAGTTCTCACTCAAATTCTCGAATGTTCGAAAGCAATTTGGGGATGTAAACTCGGAAATGTCTCATTACTCCCTCCCTCTCCCCATCTCTCCATCCCTCCCGCCCTCACTGTAAAGATTGTGCTCTGTGTACGAGAAGAGCGACAGCCCCTCACGTGTACGCTGAGCCAGCCAGCCTGGAGCCAGCTACCTCCTCGCTCTAAAAGCAAGCCTCGGTTTTTTTCCCCCTGGCGGCGCGCCATGAAGCTTGGTCAAACCGCCAGCCACCTGACCACCGACTCACATGGACTCCTGACACAGTTCCCGTCAGAGCTCACAAGGCACTTTCCGCAGTCCCGTGTATACAACAGCCGCAGTACAATAACAGGCAGCTGGGAGCTCACGTTTGGAAGAGAGAGGGCTTTAGTACTGTAAGTACAGAGAGAAGGCAGGGCAGGCTACTGTGTGTATACTGCCATGCATTCCACTGAGTAACCGGAAACCCAGAGGGGGCCACATACAAAGTTATTTTGTAGGTGTTTTAGTCGGTCAAGGGAAGTTATACCTATCACAAACCCGTGCCCACATAGATTGAATGTATTTTTTCAGTGACGGAACAAGCAAATTAAAGCATTCTTACACATAGGCTATGGCCATCTGCAAGCCCATAGGCGTTAAATCAGTTCATTTGAACTCATTACCTTATGTGGGTTACAATTCATGCAGTTAGTTATCTGACTGATTACACACCTGATTACATATAATTTCAGTCAGACTTTTATGTTTTCAATACAGGTCAGACAAATTTGCAAATTCAATAGCATATGACTCCAATATCTTGACGGTCAGTCTTTTTCATATTTTTATCCTTTACCCGCTTTTTTCCCAGGGACCTTGAATTCTCTATGAAACATCATGTAGATCTGCCTCCTGCCTTCCCTTGTTTCTCTCTCTGCTGGAGGAGACACGTGCTGCTGGCTGGGAATGTCTGTTTAGCTTCAATTGAGTGTGCCTGATTGTAATTCCTCTGCCAGCACGTGTCAACACTGACTGATGGAGATTAACTCTGCTGAGGCTTCACTGTTCGCATGTGGCTTCCTCTACTCTACCTGACAGTCTGACTTTAAACCCCCCCAACACACAATCCCCCCCCATAGCACTCCTCTTTGTCCCTCCACATCCCCACATACATACAGCCCCATGAGGGTCGGCAGGTAGCTTAGTGGGTAAGAGCGTTGTGCCAGTAACCGAAAGGTCGCTGGTTCTAATCCCCGAGCCGACTAGGTGAAAAATCTGTCGATGTGCCCTTAAGCAAGGCACTTAACCCTAATTGCTCCTGTAAGTCGCTCTGGATAAGAGCGTCTGCTAAATGACTAAAATGTAAATGTAAATGTGAGGCTCAGGCTCCACACCCTCCTAAGTTGTTTCCAGTGGCTCTTACATAGTGCTGAGCTGTTGGTTTGGTTTCCAGTGTCAGGTGGCAGCTCAGTAAGGGCAACCTGACCTCTGGCCTTCTCTATGGCAGAGACAGAGTAATTTACCAGGAACCGGAGCGTGGCCAGGTGGCTCGAGGAAAAGCCCCTCCCTGGAGCACTATGCTATGACACAGGTGACGACATGTGATATGTGGGGTAGGGCTGTATGACACAGAGCTAGCGTAAACAAATAGACAGTAACTAACCCCTCCTTCCTTCCTCTCTCATGGGAGTCCCACCCACCTCTCTCATGGGAGTCCCACCCACCCTTAGATGGGAGACAGCCAGGTAGCATGTGTGTATACCATATGTATAGCATATCTATAAGGAAACGCCCTTTATTAACTTCCTTACCCTCTCGTGTAGTGGTGTGGCACATGGAACACTTGGCCATGACTCAAGAGTCAGGTGGCAAAACACTCAGCTTGGACTGAAATACATATCTTTCAAACCAAATATACATTTTATTTTATTTACCTCTAACACTAATTGTATAAAGACCAAATAGCTCATAAACAATATTGTAATTATGTCCTTTTTAACATGACAATCTAATGACTATCAGATTAGTTTATTCAAGGTAAAGCCCACATCCCTTCCCATCCGATAACCAGGCTTCTGACCTTCACCCCTGTTCTAAAGTCACATATATAACGGTACCATAGCCACTGCTGTTGTAGAACCTCCATACTCTGTCACTGAGGTTGAGGTCAGCTTTAACTCCAGTGCTTAGTGGGAAGTCAGCTAAACAGACAGGGCTTAAATCAGGTGAGGAGATTTATGTGTGTGAGCTAATCTGATAGTGGGCTGGGCTGCAGGGTAGTGTCCGACAACGTGAGTCACTCCCATGCCCTCCCTCTCTCGGTGACCCCTAACACACTTACTCACTCCCTCCTTCCCTTGTTCCCTCCAGACATTCCAGACACTGTGTCCTTGTTTAATCTATAATCTCAATGGCCTTCATTTGTAAGTGTTTGGTGGTTTACGGTGAAAGAGTAAGTCTATAAATACATTACAGTGAATAAGACTGATATTCTGAGAGGTGAACCATTGGTTAAAAACAAAAATAGATTGAATACCAGTAGAGTAATAATTATATATTTTCCAGTTACATTTACATTTTAGTAATTTAGCAGATGCTCTTATCCAGAGCGATTTATAGTTAGTGACTGCATACATTTTCATACTGCCCCCCCACAATTATTTTGGAGTAGAAGCCTATAGATACTTTGACATAGTAAACAGTAGACTCTGAGCCAACATATTATAGCTATATTATACAGACAGACTAGGCGAACATTCAAACAACATTTTCGAGGTTTCGAGTTCGCTAGTTAGGCATACTTGTCAGGGTCATTTGTGATATCAACGAGTGGACTATTGCTACAATGTAGGATATCCTCAACACGTGACATTTTGGCTATTGATAAGATGTATAAGAAATGTATCACAATATCCGCTATATTGGATATACTGTATATGTCATACTATTCAGTTGTCTTTCCCAAAGAAAATATACATAAAACTAGCGAATAGGCTTCTAAAACGTTCTGACCCACTGACCAAACTCTGGCAACGGCATAACAGGAGTCCCCCGGAAAGGCTGTGAGTGAGCCGGGAGCGAGCGAGTTAGATGAATAATCCGGGAGGGCGGGGTGGGAATCACGCGCGGCACGTGGATGCTGAGGTTAATGCACGTGATGTCGCTCTAGGCATGCACGGTTGGCACTCGGGTAAATCAAGAACATGATGTCCACCATTATCAGACGGTTGCCATGCATGTAACGGCTCAGATACTTATTAGACTCGAGAACATGGCAGTAAATAGGGGGCGCGGTAATTCGAAACCAATGCCACTATCCCATTACCTGCTGTCTTCGGGGAAAGACTGTAGCTTTGGCAATGGAGTTATTCCAGCCTGAATTTTGTAGGCTAATAACATTACGTTTATGGTAATTGCTTCATAATATCAGTGGCACCTGACTCAAAATGCAATGCTTGTGTATTGAATATTTAATTAATGCTATTAGAATATCTTTAACTTTAGAATAGTGAGTGGTAAATGTAGTCACCTAGTACAGGGATTTCCTTTATTAGGGAACCACCCCCATATTGTGACCTGCCAGAGATTAATTTACTGCTATGAATTTATGTCCTATGGAGGCCAACATATCTGTTGAAATGAAGGTTGAACACTACCCATTACTGAGAGTGGGCTTGTGGGCATCATTCCACTGATGCCAGTGATCCACTAGCCGAAAGGATATGGTTGGCACCCAAACATATATATACATTAATTTAGTGTAATTCATATTTGCATAAATACATTTTGTATTCCATATCTTGTATTTTTGAATATCTTATTATATAGTATTGGTAAAAATGTTTTGACTAGATATGCTGGTGTGTGCAATAGATCAGGGAAGATAATGATAAAACAGTTTTTGTGATCTATTCATCATCTCCTTAATTTGGATCTGGCTCGAATAGCTGTTTGTTCTTAAAAGTTGGCCTTCAAGTCAAGACCAGTTCATTTATAAATTGTTTTGGCTCACATGTCTATGGAATAGGCGTGATTGGTCCTTGACACACGTGTTGAGAGAGAAAAAAGTTACGCCGCAGCGCTGAACAAGAGGGGAGTCACCAGTCAGGGAGCGTGACCAGTTCTGTAAATGAGTCACAGACCCGTAAACACGCAACCTCAGGTCAAAAAAAGGAAACACCTTTCTGGAGTAGTGCTGATGAAAGGATTCGAATGGCTTTGTTTTCCCCACATCATCCGGTTTGATTAGATTGCGCCAACAATTCTCAACTCTCCAAGTCAAGGCAACTTTACGCACAGAGCGCATCTGCGCAACAGAATCAAAGTTGTTCCAAATGATGTAAAAGTAAAAATGTATCGCTAAAATAATATTGTATGCTTAGAAACCGACTAGCCACATGAAGGATAGACGAGCTATAGCACTTGCAGGCACCAGGGACTGACAGAGCATGTAAGGTCGGACCGGTGCTGCACATGAGATGTAGCCCAAAGGCCGTCAGATGGCGATATTGAGTCGTTTCATCTTACCGTCCAAAGGGAATGTATGCGGCCAGATATACACACATATCCCCCGTGGACCGGTTCGTACATAAAACATTCTCCATGCAGGATGCAAAAGCATTGATTTCCTCCTTCACTCGATTTAATGGTGAGAAGGCGGAAAAAACTAGGAAAATATGCGTACTTTCTTTATGAAACACCATTTTCCTCCACCATGCTACAGTGGCTGATGCTA